ATGCGGCTGCTGTGAAAAAGACTGGCGTGTGCCTCTGGAGAGGGAACGGGATGAGGAGTCTGCATGTTCCCTTCATGCTGATGACGAAGCTGTGACCGTAGCTTTTAAAGGTCCCACCTCTCCCACCCGGGAAGGAGGCCGTCGCTGCCACACTACTTTTGTTGCCTGCAGCTTGGCTTGTGCCAGCCTTTCGAAAGCTGCGTGGTGACGTTTCGGTGCAAGCGCCTCAACTCTTCAACCTGTTGGGCATGCGGCTGCTGTGAAAAAGACTGGCATGTGCCTCTGCAGAGGGAACGGGATGAGGAGTCTGCATGTTTTTGCTTCTTGTGATGCATCGTGTGTTCTTGTACATTCAAGGGGCGCAGGGGATGAAGGGTTCCGAGCCTCTGGCAGGTCCTCCTTCGCCCTGAAACTCAGATCCGGCACGAGACCGGAAAGTCTGGTTTAAGGCTCAAGGTTTAGGGTTATATAGGGGCCTTAATAATTAGAATAGGGTTTTGGGGGCATATTGTACTATAATTACAATAAGGAACCCCCAAATCCCTATTCTAATTATTAAGGGCCCTACATGAGGGTTTACAGCAGGGTTTATGGTTTAGGGCTTAGCAACCCTCAGCTCAGGCATTGATCAAGATCGTCGTGCTGCTTCTGCTGCACGTCGCTGGGCGCTATCTTGGAGCGAAAACCGCGCTTACAGCCAAACCTGAAAGTCTCAACCCCAAATGCTGACGCCTAAACCCAAATACCTAAGCCCTAAACCCTAAACCCTACCATAAACCCCAAGCTCTAAACCCTGAGCTGTACTTGAGCCCGACAACCTCGGCCCTGAACTTCGCTTTTGGCGGTTTGTGGCGTTCGGCTGGTGTGGCTTCAGGTGTTTAGGTTCGAGGGCTTTTGTGGTGTAGGAGTGTCGGCTTCGCAGAATTTAGGGTCTCATCCGGCCTAAACCCCGCAAGCCTAAACCCTGAACGACAAGACCATAAACCCATAGCCCCAAACCGTAAACCACGATCCCTGAACCCTAAACCCCAAACCAGGATCCCGAACCCCCGGTCCCCCAAGCCCTCAATCCCGAACGCAAGGCCGTAAATTAAAGATCCTAAACACAATTTCAAAAAAGCAGGACCCTAAACAGTCTCGAGGCCCTAATCGCTGCACTCTGCGCCCTTAACCCTCAATCCCTATCCAAAATATTCTGGAAGCATGCCAAACCTATATCGGAAGACATGCAAGAGGGCACCATGACCCGAACCTCCATAAAGTAAGTTGTAGAACAACGGGCTTCTAAATCAACAGGCGCCCCTGAACCCAAAACCCCAAACTCTAAGCCAGCCAGAACTCTGAACCCTAAACCCCAAGACCCTAACCCTTAACTCTGAACCTTAATCCCCAAACCCAGACCCTTAACTCTGAACCCTAAACCCCAAACCCTAAGCTCTAAACCCTTGCAGCAGCGCCCTTCTGAGGCCACCCTCGGCCTCATGGCTCCTCTGGTGACCAGCTGTCTGATCAGCACCGTGGCCTTCCCCTTCTGGTGGGACCGGAAGAAGTCCATGCTCTTCAAGTATGGGCTCTAGGCCTTATCTTCATCCAGGTTGTATTAAGTATGGGCTCTAGGCCTTATGTCGTAATTGAGGTGGTGTTAAATCTGGGCCCTAACCCGTAGTAAGGCTTTATGAAGCTCTGAGACAGGACTAAAAAGAGGTTTTAAAGGTCTGTTTATGAGGACTTAAAGGCTTTGGCACGTCAAGTTTGCTCCGATCTGTTCCTTGGAGCTGCAGTTCAATTGTGCGGAGCGGCTCCGATGAGCTCTACAGCTGTTGATTGGGTCGAGTGGTTGCTGCTTTTACTATCATCATAATCGTCATGCATGCTGGTGGTGGATGACTGCTTCAGCACTGCTACAAGTAAAGAGATGCCTGCCAGCCAGGCGGCACAATGTTTGAGACACATCCCCCTAAACCCTAAACCCTAAACCCTAAACCCCAAAGAACTTTTAAACCAAGTCGCGTTTTAATTGTCGGCACACGTTCCAGCAGCCGGCAGAGAGACAAAAGGTTGCTTCAGGACCTTAGGGTTCAGGGTTACTCTTCACACATATGCATACGTATGTGCATATAGATATAGATACACATGTAGGTATGTATGCATGCATGCATGCATGTATGCATGTATGTGTGTATGTATTCTTATGTCCCATCTCCGAAGGCCTGAGACCCGAGACCCTCAACTCTAATCGTTTGGGGTTTAGGGTTTAGGGTTTAGGGTTTAGGGTTTAGGGTTTGGGCTGAACCGGTTTCGGGTTGACGGTTGGGGGATCGGAGCTTCTTGGTCTCAGATCACTGTACGCCTCAACCTTAAGCCAGTTTAGGCTGCAGTCCTCTAAAACCAAGCACCATCAGCCCCAAACTTCGCGAAAAATGCTTACCCCAACACCTCAAACTCTAATCCATCAGTGCCCTACACCCTACACCCTAAACCCTAAACCCTAAACCCAATCTATGGGCTCACGAGGATGCCGAAATCCGTGAGCCCAGCAACTCCCTGAGCTCTTTTGACCCTTCCTGGGCTCTGAATTGGAGAACTTAGTTTGCACTTAAAATTAGCCCGGGATGTGTAAGCGATACTCAACAAAGCATACTACTTACTAGATATCCCTGTTATGGCAAGTATAAAGTTTGTACTTGCCATAGCAGGGACATGTAGAAAGTAAGGTGCTTTGTGCGTGTGGAGTTTGTAACCCTCTGCTGCGTCTAGAGCTTCTTCCCGCGTATGAAGGCCCCGAGCAGGCGTAAGTTTTGCAACTTCGTCTAGAACAATGGTTCAGGGTTTAGGCTTTAGGCTCTAGGGTCTAGGATTTAGTGTGTGGGTAAGTTTAGGTCGCGATTATCTGGCTTGGGGAATCTCCCAAACCGATCCCAGGTTCTTACTTAACCATATGCCACAAATCCCTTGGAGAAGCTCTTCGGAACGTAGATTCGCACCTGAAAACAAATTTTCAGAAGCCAGAAGCCGTTACCGTCGAAGTCGCATCGGGGCCCGACAGACCACAGAAACAGACCATTGCGATTAAGAAGGGTGCCGTTGAACTGCCCTTGTTAAGGTCTGCCCCCTAGCATGCGTCAGCCTGGAGTCTCGAGCCAGTAAGCCAAGCTTTTCCCTATTGTTGCTTCAGAGTTTCAGGACTTCGGGTTTGTCCGTTTGTGGTAGGTTCACGTCTAAGGCTTCACGGGAGGCTATCTAACAATTTGGGCCAAAACACGGACTAACACAGCGATCCCAGCTCCGTTGCAGAACCTCACATCCATGAGTGCCGTCTTTGGCATTTAGGGATGCCTGCCTGCAGTCTCAAGTATGTACAAGCCAGTGTTTTACGCTGTTAATTCGCGACTTCGAGTCTGGGGTGTGCTGGATTTGCGATGTGCATCGAGCGGGTGTCAGGTAAGCTCTCATGGCCGTGTCTCGACTGCCACCGGCAAAGTTTACTTTGGGCAGGCAAACGACTCAGGATACCTCAAGGTGAGTGTTGATGGCCAGCACTACTATGTGCATCGTCTAGTGGCCACAGCATTTCTGGGTCCGCCACCGGATCCGACGTGTTGGCAGGTGAACCACATAGACGGCAATCCGGCAAACAACCTTCTGACAAATCTGCAATATGTAACTCCAGCCGAGAATCAGAGGCATGCGTGGGCAAACAACCCGAATCGACAGCCGGGCAAAGCCGTCCTGTGGCGTCCTTTTGGCATGCAGGCTTGGACATTCTCTGCCTCGCAAAGTGAAGCTGCAAGGTTGCTTGGGCTCTCAGTGAACGCCGTGTCAAAGTGTTGTCGTGGCTTCGCCCGGAAGTCGTGTGGACATGGGATTTGGTACGAGTTCCAATCAGCCGCTCTGGCTGAAGACAGCTTCCTGCCGGGTGAAATCTGGCAGCCTGCCCGTTACCCAGGATTGTCGGGCGTTGTTCCAAACTTGATGGTAAGCAGCCATGGCAGGGTTTCGAAGGTCGGATCTCTTTCCGACACTGTCAGTCGCGGGTGCCGCATGAAGAGTGGTTATTTTATTGTCTGCAGGGCTCAGAAGAATTGGCTTGTACACCGTGCAGTGGCCGCGACCTTTCTTGGTCAGCCAGACATTCCAGACATGCAGGTCAACCACAAAGACTTTGATCGAGGGAACAACCGCGTGCAAAACTTGGAATTTGTCTCAAGTTCAGAGAACATCGCACATTCGTGGCAAAGGCGGTCTGGAAATGCACGCAGCCAAGCTGGCAAGGCCGTTCAAGCCTGCTCGATTGCCTGCGACTCGTCTACGGGCCCTTGGCTGGAATTTGATTCAATCGCTGCTGCAGAGCGACATACAGGTATCTACTGGGCCAAAATCGATCGCATCTGCAGGGGACTTGTCCCTGGTGCCGGCTGGGACTTCAAGTTTGTTGAAGACCTGCAGATTCCCGGTGAGGAGTGGCGGCCTGTGGTACTCGAAGGGGCGCGGCGACCTGCCGTCAAAAAATCTTGTTTGCTATGTATCGGGATGCTCCTAATGCACAGCTAGCAACATGTGCTGGATTTGTTGTGTAATGCACCAAGAGCTTTTTGCCAATGCCCCAGCCCCTCGCAATTTTGCATGGGGCTGAGACCATGGAACCTGAATCCATAGGTCTTAAGGTTCTCTGGCTGGAAACATCCTTCTCTAGGGGTCCTTATACACCAAATGAGATGACTTGAAGGATCTTGGCGAGTTAGACGAGCACTACAAGTGCATGAAACGAGGTTACATGGTGACCTTCACTAAGAAATCGTACTGACCAAGTCTGCGAAACCCTGAGGAGTTTAGAGCTCATCGCACTTGCAAGTCGGACTTCAGGTTAGGGTTTTGGGGGTTCCTTATTTTGAATATACCCCCAAGCCCTATTCTAATTGTTAAGGCCCCTGTATTAGAGTAGCTCATGTGTCGGTGAGACTCACCCACGAAAATCCTCAATTTCAGGATCCGTAAGGCCTAAAACCCCGAGCCCTGAACCGAGGAACCTAAATCCATGAGCCCCAAACCCTAAACCCGAAACCTGCAGGAAGAGAAAGGCATCCCTGAGACCTACCGTGGCTTCGTCGGCCTCCACCTCAGCCTGCCGAGCTCGAGGGTGTTCCAATGCGATTTGGGGTGCTCTTTCTACAGGGCCCTATGGGAGAAACCAGAGGGGCACATTACTTTTTGTGCCATGAACCGAGCAGCCAGCTGGGTCTTAGGCTGGGGATAATGGGAATGAGGCAGGGAGTGAAATCCAGCACCTGCAAATTTATCGAAACACAGGTCTTGCTTCAGGTGCGCTGTTTCGGGGTTGCCCGTCCTGGGGGGGTAGGGGTAGATGTTGAGCTCGAAAACATCAACCAAAATCCCTGAGCCCTAGCTCCTCGAGCTTCCCAAAGCCCTAAAAGTTCAGACCAACATTCCGAGATTCAGCAGATGTAATACCTGGTGTGCCCTTTTGCGTTCCGAATTTTTCGAAGAGCCGCACATCACGCCTGTCACCGAGCTCCAGTGCACCTGCGGGCTCCTGGGTTTCAAAGGATGGAAACCCAATGTAGGAGCCCTTGCAGCCACCTATGCGGGGTATAGATCCTCAAACCCTGAAGCCCCAAAACCCCTAGCCCCGAACCCTGAGTCGCTAAGCAAGAAGGTGGGGTAAAGATGCTATTCACAAGTCTTTGCAAGGGTGTTGGTGGTTGGGTTGTATGCTTTCTGCATCGGGCGCTGTGGGCATCGTCGGATTTTTGTATGGGAGCCTGCATACTTGCACAACCATGGTTCATGCAACATCCCGGGAAGCGTACAAATGCTAGCTCATGTATGCCCCTGCTTTGGGGTGTGACGAGCTTTGAGGGTGAAGCTCGATGCCACCAGAGCCAACAGGTCTTGCAGACAACCTGGAGCGGCAGAAGTGCCTGTGTCTGCATTTAAACAGTGCCGCAAGGAGATTCCAGAATTACTGAGGGCGGTTGGCTTTTGGTTTTGGGGGTGTTTAGGATGCAGGTGCGCGGTCTTGGGAGGGTTTCCGTTTGGATTTTCGGGTGTAGATCTGTCACCTTCACCCTAAAACTCGACCGAATCCCGTTAAAACTATCCGTCTCTTAAGCCGGAAGAAGCCCCAACCAAAATGCTACAAACCCTACAAACCCGCTGTCAATTTAATTGACAAGCCGCTTGAACACCTCACCAAAGTCTTCCGGAGCGCTTGCCAGGCGCTGGACGGAAGCCAGCCAGGCGTGGACGCAGGTGGCCGCCGACTGTCTGGGGGAGAACCTAGGGCCTTTTTTCTTTTTTAAGGGTTTAGGGTTTAGGTCTCCCTTCTCTGTTTCTCTCCTCCTCCGCTTCTGTGTTTCTCTGTCTTTCTGTCTTGGTCTCTGTGTCGGATTCACAGACTTCTGTGAGAACCAGGAGCTGTAGTAGCTTTGCAATCGGTCCCGTGCTACATGGATGCCATCATTGAGTTCGCATCCTGCGCCCACCATCCCTGATGATGCTGCTGTTACTGGCCTAGCCAGGAGTTTGACCGATAGTGAGCTACTTCAACCCTAAAAGATCTTGGGGTCTGTTCGGAATGTAGCGCATGGAAGTTGGCAGAGCTTGGCTTTCGGATTTCTCCATAAACCGCTAGCTCCTCCCCTCCCCGTCCTTGACCCCTAAATCCCGAGACGCTACACCGAATCCATAAACCAAAACCTTCATGGAACCCGGAAAGGGGACCCTCAAAGGAACCCTAAGCCCCTACGCCTTCAACCTTCGAAACGCACCATTGGTCAGGTCCTAGAGCTTGCGACGCCAATGCCAGGGGCTGGGGAAGCCGGGGTTAGGGCCTGTGGGGTTGAGGGCTTACGGGTTGGGCGCGAGGGGCCACCTAGTTAGAGCGTCAGGGCCAGCAGGTGATAAAAGAGGTTGTAGTCATAACAGACCCGAAGTAAGGTGTTTATCGCTTTAGCTGAAGCCTGCTGGCGAAGCTTTTGGATCCAACAAGTGTAGTGCATGGAGGGTTTTCAGACTTTTGCTCTTACGAGGCCGGAGTTTGCCCACAGTTTCGGCACAGGCAGAGGATGTGACGACAATGTTTTTCGTCGCTCGTCCCTGGCTGCACACTAGCTATGCCCGCCTGCGAGCTCGAGGCGTCGCCAATGCATGGCAGGTCAGCTCCTATGGTCGGGTAAAATCGTCGCGGGACTTGGTGAGCTACGGGACTTTATCGGGAAGCTATCGCCAGGTTAGAATCTCCAAGGAAAATTTCTGTGTACACCGACTCGTAGCAGCTGCATTTATCGGCGTGCCACCGGCAGAAGGCATTTGGCATGTGAACCATATCGACGGTAACAAGTGCAACAACCATGCAAGCAATTTGATGTATGTGACACCATCAGAAAACATCCGGCACTCATTGGCGATTAGCCCCCGCTCTGGAGGCAAACCCGGCAAGGCTGTGCTCTGGCGAGAGCATGGGGAAGAGAAGTGGAGTATGTGTTCATCCAGGGCCGATGCAGCCAGACTGCTTGGAGTGCAGAGCAGAGAAATTGCAAGATGCTGCATTGGTCTTTCCGGTGGGTCGCGTGATGCGCACGGAACCATGTATGAGTTCAAAGATGCAGCCATGACAATGCCATCATGTCTTGCCGATGAGGTCTGGCAGCCTGCAGCTTACCCCGGTGAAGCATGGTGCACCGAAGACCTGATGGTGAGCACTTTCGGGCGAGTCTTTTCCAAGAGTGCTTCTCACAGTTATCTGTCCTATGGCACATGCTTGGCAGGTGGTTATTACTCTGTGCGGCGGCAGGGTCGGGGACTGCTTGTGCATCGGTTAGTAGCTGCAACTTTTCTCGGCCAGCCCGACTCACCAAACTTGCAGGTCAACCACAAGGACAAAAACCGTGGAAACAATCGCCTGGAGAATCTTGAATATGTTACACCTTCTGAGAACCAGCTGCACGCTCTGGGCACGGTGCGGAGAGTGCGCAGATGCAGGCCCATTCTAGCACGCGGCATGGGGTGTGAAGCATGGACCGAGTTCGCAAGCATCGCAGCTGCTTCGGAGCACACCGGCCTATCACGTAGAGTTGTTTCAGCAGCATGCCATCGACTCAGATCCGGGAAGGGCAGCTGGGAGTTCAAGTTTGCACCCCAGGCATTGGATGGGGAGGTGTGGCGGGTAGTGGTGTTGGAGGGAGCTCGCGCGCAAAGACGGCGTTGTCAGTAAACGCAATTCAGGCAGCAAACCTGCAACTTCCGAGCTGGCCCCTAGAGTTAGAGGTGAGTAAACGGTCATGAAAAACAAGAAGCCCTGCCCCGAACCCTAAACCCCAAACCGTACAGTAAACCCCTGATCCATGGTTACGCCAAGTCAGTGCCCTCACCTTCCCTTGAGCCTCTCCCTCACGGCCTTGAGTTTTGGCCGCTGAGGGAGCCTGGAAGCCCCACAACCTTCCATTAATGATGTCTTCTGCAGCAGCCCTCTGAAATGCGGCCCTCGCCAACGAAGTCGGGCTGGTTGTTGGAGCCGCCTTCTTCAACGAAGCTTCGTGGTACAAACCCCCTGACACCCCGTGAACGCCTTGTCCCCCGTGAAAACCAAGCCACCTGAATTGCTGAAGTCTTGCAGAATTCAGACACCAAGGATACCGCCACAAACAACAGACGTAAACAGAAAAATCCGAGCCCAATGCCCAAAAAATCTCGACCCCAACCCGAACGCAAACAACATGCAAGCCAAAAAACCAAAACGACGCCCTGAATTCTAAGCCCAAAGTCCCACCCACTTCCGTGAACACCTCCTTCTCGGCCGAGGTTCGGCGCAGGCCCAGTTCTTAGAGTCGACAACAGCATGGCTGAAGGTTCATAGGTCATATAGTATGTTTGGGGTTTCAGTACAGACCCGATGTTAAACTCACTTTCTTTGTATGTATCGTTCTCGTAATTTTCAATTCTTCCACTACTCGTGAGTATCGTTGCTGCTATTGTCTGGAGTGCCAGCATTGTTATTTGTACCAGCCTGATTCTTGCTCTTCTATCGTAGCAGCATTGTTACCGCTGTTATCATTGACAGTTTGATTGTTACTGTCTTGATACTGGCAAGTTGTCAGGGGCCGCTGGGAATCCTAAAGCCTTGTAGCTCACAATCCAAGATGCCTTGCACCCCAAGCCTTTCGGCCGTAAGCCCGAGGCCCGTTTGAGCCCGGAAGTCCCAAAGGCCCCACCGTCATGCCCCCCAATCTGCTCAGAAGCTGCAAAACAGCCTGAAGCAGGAATACCGCAAGCCCCAAAACCTTAACACACCCCTCCCAAAAAGGCAGGGCCAGAAGCCCCAAAGCTCCAAAAGTTGGAAAAGCTCCAATATTTCCAAGCCTCCAAAATCCCCAGCAACTAAAGCCCAAGACCCCATACGCTGAAAAACCCTCAAGTTTCCCAAGGCCACGAGAGAACGGTCGAGCATCAGCTTCGACTAAAGCGTGTGGGGGCCCTCCGTTCCACAGGGCTCGGGAGAAACCTCCTTCAGCGTCCTAGGGTTGCTGTAAGGGTTCCGTTTAAGGGGTTCCTTTGCTTGAATGAGGGCTACCGCAAGGGTTCTATATGGGTCACAAGAAGGGCTGCTGTAAGGATTCAGCGAGGCATGGGAGCGAGGGTTCCGATACAGCTCGGGTAGAAAGAGTCCACATGTATTTAGGTACTTGGACCCTCCTTGAGAAGCATTGTAAAACCCCCTATAAACCCCACAAGGGATAAACGACTGCACCAAACCCTCAACCCTAAATCTAATCCCTACGAAGCCCGGAACAAAGCCTGAGCCTGAACCCCGAAGTCTTCAAAACACCCCAAAACCCAAATCGCCCTAAACCCTCAACCTAAAACCCAACACGCCCTAGCCCCTCGAGCCCAAAACGCCTTAAACCCTAAACCCTAACCCCGTAACCCATAAGCTGCCCTAAGCCCCTCAAAATCTCTGAAAGAAAGCCGAGGCTGAGCGGCTCGCGCGGTGGCAGCGGGTGCGCCCGGCATGGGCTCGGGCTGTTGGACGTTTATTGAGGCTCTTATCGCTTTAGGGTTTAGGGTTTAAGGTTATCGAAGCTCTTATTGCCATTGTAGATTTTCACGAGTTTTAGTTTAGATTTTTCAAGTATAGGGTCTAGGAATTGGGATATACATGTAGGGTTTAGAGATTCTTGACTCCGGGGCTTCGGTTACGGGACGGTGGGTTCTGGGTTTGCTGAGTTAAGGGGCGCTAGCTGCTTTCGGACAGCGGAGTTGCGAGACAACTCCGGAAAACCCCAAACCTAAGACCCGCGCTTCCGAGCCCCCACCCACGCCAGAACATGCGCATGGGCATCTGGGCGGTGACTCTCATCGTGCCCGTGGGCTTTGGCTGGTCCTGGTACCGAAACGCCGAGTGGGGCTTCCCAGCCCAGGGCTTGTTTCGGGATTTGGGGGTTGGTTTACTGGCTGTATGGGTATAGGGTATAGGGTTTACAGTAGGGTTTAGGTTGCAGGTCTGGGGTTCAGGGTATAGTGATATGTTGTTTTAAGGTTTTTATGACACTTTCTGTGGAGGTTCATGGGTAGTTATAGGTGAGAAGCACCTTAATGCGCTCCTTCCCTAAGAAGGGCGACTGTGAGCTACAATCGACATTGCGGAAACCAGGGTCTTATTTAGGAGGGGTTCAAATGGTTCAGGTGCCATATGCTACGGAATATATAGTTCATGCATATAGAGCCCATTATACCATATATAGTATGCCCTTTTGGGTTCAGATGTTAGGGGGTTTGGGGCGTAGTCTTGGTGGTGAGGGTGCCAGATTTAGGGTTACGGGCGTAGGGTTTAGGGTTTCGGGATTAGGGTCTTGGGGGGGTTTCGATTCAAGGCTTCAACCGTCTGTGTTCAGGGAGCATGACGAATTTACAGGAGGCTTCACGGCGATTCGGGTCGCAGTGGCTGATTCCAGAGTTTGGGGTCTCACGATTGGAAGGCCTTAGGACATACGTTGCCCAAGGTATCATATAGAAGTCGGAATGATTAGACCCATCATCCCCTTGCAGCCCCTACATACCTATATCGTACCAGAGCCGTATTCATCCGTATTCCAAATATTGCCTCTAGTCCTAGTCCCTGTTCCCCATCTATAAAGCTCCACAAAATCCTACGAAAACCATTGGGGAATCTCACGAAAACCTGCAACTAGAACAAATAAACCCCTCAGACTTCTGTGTTCACACAGCCCTAAGCCGTATGTCACGACAGTGGTGCGAGAGGCCAGAACCGATAATAACACAATGCACTGACCTTAAGAACTCTACTCTAAAGCCCTAAACCCTAAACCCTACACCCTAAACCCTAAACCCTACACCCTAAACCCTAAGCCCTAAGCCCTAAACCCTAAGCCCTAAGCCCTAAAGCCCTAAAGCTTCGGCTAGCACTTCCGCTCTGGCTTGGACCGAGCGCACGCCAACAGCCCCGCAGGCAGACTGCCTTTGGTCAAGCGTGGGGTGGGGCGCCCAGACAGCGGAAGGGACTGTTTGGGCAGGTTTGGGCGCCCTCCTACTTGGAGGTTCATGGGTGGTTATAAGTGGAGTTAGAAGTCCCCGAATATAGGTTATAATTATAGTTACCTTACTTATAACCCTACTTATGACTACCCATGAACCTCCAAGTAGTGTCTAGGATCTAGCGCCTTAGAAGTGTCTAGGGGAGGACAGAGTGCCCGGGATATTCCAAGCATCGCTGCCTCGGTCCTCGGTGTCGCCACCGTGATCACCATCGTCATCGCCGTCACTGTCGTCGTTGTCGGCCGTTGCAGCCGTAGTGGTTATCGTAGCCACAGTCTTGGTTGCCGTCGTCGTCGTCGTCTTATAACGGTTGCCATCATTATTATTGCCATTCGTGGCAGGTAGTGGTAGTTGTAGTGGTAGTGGTAGTGGTAGTGGTAGTAGTCGTCGTCGTCGTAGTCGTCGTAGTAGTCTGTTTGATAGCGATACTGATATCACGACAACCGAAGACACCTCTTAGCATCTACGGGATACAACAAGGATGCAGCTACGACGATGTCGACGACAACGACGACCACGACGACG